GCTGAGCGACCCCGAGACCAGAGTCAAGATCCAAGATGCCCACCGGCTGCACCACGTCAGCTCCCTGGCCTGGCTGGATGAGCACACGCTGGTCACCACCTCCCACGACGCCTCTGTCAAAGAGTGGACAATCACCTACTGAGGTCCCCTCGGACCGGCCGAATCAGGGACTTGAACCTTCATGCCGCGGAACCCGCTGTCCCCCCGATGTTTCTGTACTGTGCCCGCCCGCCCGCCTGCCCCGGGGAGGCCGCCTGGGGTGCTCCTGGCCCCTCCGGGCAGCCATGTCAGCCCGTGCCCTTCCGAAAGCTTTAGACGGTAACGTTTGCACAAAATAAAGCGAGCACTTCAACCACGTGTGGAGCGTGACTAGTGCCCGAACCGCCGGCCCTGAGCATTCCAGAGGCACGCACGCCGCACCCCTGCACGCAGGCTCGGAGTCCCCCCCTGTGCTGTGCCCAGTGGGCAGGCAGGCTGCAACCAGCGCCTGCAGGGCTGGAGGAGAGCAGGCAGCTGAGCCTGCTGGCCAGCCGGCCAGGCTGCGCCCAGGTTTCTGTGCTCGTGGGGGTGGCGGGTCTTCCTGGTCTGCTTTGCCTCCACGTGTCTGACTTGCCTGTCCTGTTTACATGCCGCTGCTCTGCCCCCTGCCCTCTGCCCCCAGAGCAGGAGGGAGGAAGCAAGCTGCTACCAGTCTCCCTCTCTGTGGCCAAGCCTCCCTCGACCCGTGAGACCACTTGGAGACTAAGAGCTGTCTGAGAAATCATTAAATCTTTTCTCTCCTCCCTTGTGTCCTTGTGCGTTGCTCTGCGTGTGCGTGTACGTGTGTGTAGTGGGGGCCGGTGGTGGCGCTGACTCTGGGATCCTTGTCACCAGGCTCAGGAACCCAGACTGCCATGTCCATCAGGTACCACATGGAAGCCCAGAGAAGGCCCCTGAGTGCCTGCTTCTGGTCCCTGCCGTGTGGGAGGGGTCTGGGCCACAACACCTCCAAAACCAACCAGATGGCAGGCATCCTCTGTTTTCGGTCAGGTGATGGTCAGGCTGAGCTGGCGAGCCCACGTGATAGGAGAGTTGCCCCAAGTGCAGCCCTGCACCCTTCAAGGCTCTGAATCCCTAACTTTCCTGTGCA